CAGTTCTCGTTACTGCTACTCGTTACTCGATCCAGATTTGGGGCTCTTTGTAACCGCTCTTGGCACCATGTTTGGGGTTTTCTTTGTTGTTTTTGTTGGTTGGTTCGGGAGCCAGGGGAGGATGGTGGCCAGGGCTGCGATTTAGGCGTAGAGACCCTGAGAAACCGTCCCTCGTTGCGCAGAACCAGGCTGCGCTGTGAGCAGCACGCCATGTCCCCTGTGCTGGGTCGGGGAGAAGCCGCCCGCTGTGGCCAGACCCGCAGACTCTGTTTCTGGCGGCAGTTGGCTCGCGAGTCCCCGTGGCCAGTAGGTGTCTGTGTGCGTTCCACCCTCACATGCTGCTCTCCCCTGCGGGGTGGGGGGCTGGCAGATAAATTGAATCTAAGTGATCAGATGACGTAAAGGTTAAAAATCTACATTAGACCACAATTCCAAAGATCACAGATTTTTTAAAAAACAGTCGTTTTATAAATTTACTTTAACTTCCTTATTGAAATGTTTTCTTTTTTATGGGTATAATTTTAAAACTTGCAGTTTGTGTTTTGTTTTGTTTTTTCTTGAAACAGAGTCTCACTCCGTTGTCCAGGCTAGAGTGCCGTGGCATCAGCCTAGCTCACAGCAACCTCAAACTCCTGGGCTCAAGCGATCCTCCTGCCTCAGCCTCCTGAGTAGCTGGGACTACAGGCATGCGCCACCATGCCCGCCTAATTTTTTCTATATATTTTTAATTGTCTAATTAATTTCTTTCTATTTATAGTAGAGACGGGGTCTCGTTCTTGCTCAGGCTGGTCTCGAACTCCTGACCTTGAGCAATCCTCCCTCCTCGGCCTCCCAGAGTACTAGGATTACAAGCATGGCCATGCCTGGGCCATGAGAGCCATCCTCCCAGCCCCTGGTCCACCTGGACTCGGACGCGGAGGTGTGATGGCTCCAGTCCCTCTCCAGCCCCAGGGGGGCTCCGTGTCGCCCTCACTGCTCCGTGCAGATGGAGAGGCTCAGCGTGCGCGGCCTGGGAGGCAGGACGCAGGCCGGACGCCGTCCACCCAGGCAGAGCAGCAGGAGAGGAGCAGAGGGCGGGGCCAGCGTGCGCGGCCTGGGAGGCAGGACACAGCCGGGACGCCGTCCACCCAGGCAGAGCAGCAGGAGAGGAGCAGAGGGCGGGGCCCAGCGTGCTCGGCCTGGGAGGCAGGACACAGCCGGGACGCCGTCCACCCAGGCAGAGCAGCAGGAGAGGAGCAGAGGGCGGGGCCCAGCGTGCGCGGCCTGGGAGGCAGGACACAGCCGGGACGCCGTCCACCCAGGCAGAGCAGCAGGAGAGGAGCAGAGGGCGGGGCTCAGCGCGTGCGCGGCCTGGGAGGCAGGACACAGCCGGGACACCGTCCACCCAGGCAGAGCAGCAGGAGAGGAGCAGGCCTACGGGGAGAACGCCGAGACGCGCTTTCAGGGAAGCCCGAAAAGCTTCTTAGAAACTGGGATAGGTTTTAATAGAAAGCTGTGGTGTCTCTACTTGAGTTGTAAAGAGTTTTTTTTATTTTAAGTAGAGATTCACACTGTTTAGAGATAATTCAGAACAGGTCGCCTTTTCAGCTTCACTCTGATTTCTGTAGAAATTTGTGCACAGAGGACTTTTGACTCGGATGGCTTTCTTGTTCACACGTTCAATCTTGACTTGTCAACACATTTTCTTCCGCTTGAGGGTGAAGCACCTTCTGTGCATGTACCTCGGGTGGGTTCTCTGCTGGAAACATCTGCTGCAGGTGCAGCCGAGTTTCGGGAACCCCAACAGCCTCCTGGTCCCCTGGCGGCTCCCCCAGCGCAGGCTCCACGGGGTGTTCTCGTCACAAGTGCCGCGGTGCTGGCTGCTCCCTGCACGGCCCCGGCTGTGGTCGCCGGGCCCTGGCAGCAGTGCTGGGACCCCCAGAGGGCCACATACACACACACACACGCCAGGACCCACAGCCACTGGCCATCGGTGGTTTGCAGGACGGGATGTCGGGTCTCAGCTCACTCCCCAGTCTCAGCAAAGTGGCATCTCCTCCCAGTGAAGGGGACTGTTTATAGCTGGTGGTTTTGTTTCCATTGAATTGGTGAATTTGTTTAGGATCCTTAGAGCTATGAGCTTAGCAGGTTTGTGTGTAGTTTCTTATCTTTGTGAATTAGTGACCTTTAATCAAAGAAGATGAGGACCAAGGCTTGTGTTTGTCACGTGGTGAATGGTCACTTTGATCACTTTGATGTCGGTTAACTGGAGGCTGTAGCTGCTTTGTCCTGAAGAGGCTGCAGAACCTGCAGGGCCAGTGTCGGCAGCCTAGCTCCAGGGCTGTCCCTGTTTCTCCAGGGCTGTCCCTGTTTCTGCAGGGCTGTCCCTGTTTCTGGGAGCCGCCTGCAGCTCCTGTCCACACACGAGCTATGCGAGCCCTGTGCCCTTTCGGGGAGGCAAATACGCCCTTGTAACCATCCCATGCAGAATAAAATAGGCGTGTTTTCCATTGTCTTCAGAATGCTGAGGTAAAGCAAGTGTCTTCTAGAAGCCAGAGGACCCAGCGGGGGCCGTGGGTGGGAGTCCCGGCGTTGTCGTGGTGGCATTTCTGTCTGGAGTAGTTGGGATTGTTCGTAGTATATTCGTGAGACTTTGCACAAATCATTTCTCTTGTGATTATTGTAGTCTGCCATCCCGTCACTTTTCTAGAATTGTCATTTCTTGGAGGTTGTGTGTCTTACTATGGTGTCGTATTTTTACTAGAAATCAGATTCGTTAGCAGGCACTTTGCACGTCATCGTGCAGCACCAACCTAACCCAAGACAAGTGCCGGGAGGCCTCAGCAGGTGTGGGGAGGTCACGCCTTTGCTCCCAGACCCACCTGAATTGCAGGTGCAGAAGGGGAGGGCAGGGCAGTGGAGGGGTGGCCCATGCTGTGGGGGTCGGGACGGTGACAGGACAGACTCCTGCAGGTCAGACTTGCTGGCCTCGAACTCCTGGCCTCAAGTCATCCTCCCACCTCAGTTTCCCAGAAAGCCAGGATCACAGGCGTGAGCCCCTGACGTGCTGACTCTACAGTGGTGCAAAAGTGTAGAAACTGTATTTCAGATTTACAGTTTTGATTTAAAATTGTTTATAATAACTTTATTGTAAGATAGGCTTTGTGCTAGATGATTTTGCCCAACTGCAGGATAACATAAGTGCTTTGAGCACAGTTAAAGCAGGGAGGGCTGGGCTGTGCTGTGCAGCGGGTCAGGTGAATGCGTGTTCCCCTCACCCTGAGTGTACCAGGACGTAGCTGCGTGAAGCGTTGAGAAGCTTCTGCAGTTCTGTACAGACTTGTTCAGAAAGCACAGTTACCTTCTTCATAAAAGAAATTTCTGGAAATTTTCACATATTTTAATGAGTAAAGCAGAATGAGGGAGAAAAAATTCAACACAGTTTAGATAAGGTCGGAGTCTGGTGTGTATCTGATTCAGCGTGCACAGAACGTGTCTCCGCAGACAGCCGGCGGAAGGCGCGTGCACGTGGGTCAGTGTCCGCCAAGCACAGTGCTGGCGAGGACGTCTGAGGGCCTGTTCAGAAGGTCGGTATGACGCTGACGCGGCCGGTCGCTGGTGCCTGCGGCTCTCCTTTGCCGTTGGATTTCACTGTGACGGTGAACAGGCCGACCCGTCTCATCCTGCCTGTCTCAGGGGCCCTCATTGCTGGGCTCTTTCAGAACCCCCCCCCCAGCCGCCCCTCGAGGTGGGCGTAGCTGGGGCACGGGGTGGCCCTGCCCTGGGGGCAGCCTGAGATGCTGCTGCCTGGCTGCAGGGGGGTGGGGGCAGCCAGATGTGCACTCTCGTACCCGCCCGGTCTCTGCACCGCGCAGGGGAGGCCAGATCTGGCGCACACCCACCTCGCGGAGCTGTCCTTCCTGCCGCGTGGCGGGGCACAGTCAGCACCCGCCCAGGCGTCCCTGGTGCCTCCACCCCTGTCGTCTTTGTCCTTGGACACTGGAGCGGAGGCCACCGAACATTGTGTGCCCCGGACTTGAGGGAAACCAGGGAGAAAGCGAGTGGGCCGGTGTCACCGCCTCCCTGCTGGCCGTGGGGTCTCACCCAGTCCAAATTCCAGGACTGTGAGGACCAGGGTCCCTCCTGGAAAACCTGCTACTCAGGAGTCGTGGTGTGACTCTCCTTGATCTTGAGAATTTCAAACGAATGCGCTGGTTACTCACCACGGAATCGCCAGTGTGCTGGACGGAAGTGAAGTCCCTGTTGGAGTAACTCGCTGGAGGGGCTTAGACTGACTCTGCTGAGAAGCAGGGCAGCTGCTCCGGTGTGCTGGGTGTGGGCTTCTCAGAACCTGCACCATGGGTTTCCCCTGACGCTCCTCGGATTTGCTTTTACGGACTGGTTCAATTTCAGACTGCAGCATCCGAGGAGGACTGGAATTAAACCTCCAACGGGTGCCCCAGCTATGTTCAGGGGTTGGTGGCGGACTCTGCCGTGGACGGGGTGGGTGGCCTGGGGGCTTTGGCAGGCGTCCGTAGCCCACTGACTCTCTGCACTTGCAGGTCGATGACATCCTAGGAGAAGGCAGCGACGACAGTGACAGTGAGAAGAAGAAGCCGGAAGAGCAGGAGGAGGAGCCAGAGGGGCGGCCGCAGCCCGGGATGCCGGAGCCCTGCAAGGTGCTGCCAGCAGGGGCGGCGTCCGCGCCTAGCGAGAGGAGCACAGCCCGGGGGCCCAGGTGAGGGCGGGGCTGGGGCCCAGGTGAGGGTGGGCCGGGGAGGGGAGGCCAGCCCCTGCCCGGTCTGACATCTTCCTCAGGACTGACGTGGTTGGGGGCACCGACCCCTCGTAGTTGAAAATGCATGTGTGACTTTTGATGCCCCCAAAACTGAATTACCAACAGCCTGCTGATGATCAGAAGCCTCACCAAAAACACAGTTGATTAACCCAAGCTTTGTATGTGTAGCACAGTGTTCTTATAACTAAGCAAACTACAGGAAAGAAAGTATCAGAAAATCATATGGAAGGGAACGTATATCTACAGCTCGTTTAGTGGAAGTGGATCCTCACACAGGCTTTCGTCCTAGTCTCCCTGCTGAGCAGGCTGAGGGGGAGGGCGGTCTTGCAGTCCTGGCCGGGCAGAGGCGGGTCCCACGTGTGGTGCGTGTGTGCAGCAGCTCACGCCCCTGCTCAGGGTCAGTGCACCGTGCCGGTCTTACCGGCAAACAGGACAGTCAGTGTTGTCTGCTTCTGGGTTCCATGCTTTGTTGTTGACGGCGATGTGCTGGGTGTGCCACTGTCACACAGAACAGTAGCAAGAGAAACCTACAGGCAGAAAGCAAAGGCCGGTTACATCAAGTAGCGGATTTTGCAAGCTAACATTGACAAACTACTGCATTCCTGACAACATGGATTTATATCAGTTTTCTTATGATTTCAAGTATTACCAGGGCAAATTGAATTTTTTCCCCTTCAGAAAGTCTGTGTCGAGTGTAAGGGGTGACACCTGTGCCCGTGAGTGTCCAGCCGTCCAGCCAGCCTGGTCTCTGGAGGCCGCGGTGAGGTCCCGGGGCGGGCGGAGCCCTGCGTCCCCGCTGTGCTGCATGGCGCCAGCACCGTTCAGCAGTAGCCCGTCGGTGGAGTGCGTGAGTGTGGTCTACACATGGAACCACTGGTCCAGGACATTGTCGTCCTGCAGTAGGGTATGAATGGTGACAGTGCTGGTGCTCCCCGGGTGCCTGCCAGGTGCTCCACTTGGGTGCGCGCAGCAGGTGGAGGACGGAGAAGCCAGATCTGCCTGCGGGCACCAAGCAGCCCTGCAGTGACCAGCAACAGTCCCCTGTGGGTGCGGCGGGTGGAGGACGGAGAGCCAGAGCCTGCGGCCAGCAGCCCTGCAGGACCAGGCATCAGTCCCCTGTGGTGCTGCGGGGGGGAGGACGGAGAAGCCAGGCTGCCTGCGGCACGCAGCACCTGCAGGGTGACCGGCCACAGTCCCCTGGGGTGCGGCGGGTGGAGGACGGAGAAGTCCAGACTGCCTGCGGACACCAGCAGCCCTTGCGTGACCAGCACAGTCCCCTGTGGTGTCGCGGTGGAGGAACGGAGAAGCCAGGCTGCCTGCGGCACCGCAGCCTGCATGACCGGCCAGTTCCCCTGTTGGTGCAGGCGGAGGGGGAGGACGGAGAAAGCCAGGCTGCCTCGTGGCGCACCAGGCAGCCTGCATGAACCGCACCAGTCCCCGTGTGGGTGGGCGGTTGGAGGACGAGAAAGCCAGGTGCCTGGCGGCCACTCAGCAGCCCTGCAGTTGACCGGCACAGTCCCTGTGGTGCCAGTGGAGGACGAAGCAGCTGCTTGCGGCACCAGCAGCCCTGCAGTGACGCGCAACGAGTCCCATCTGGTGGGTGCTCAGGGCAGTGGACGGAAGCAGGGCTGCCTGCGGCACCAGCAGCCCTGCCCCCAAAGATGACCCACATCCGTTTTGTCCATGGACGAACAGGCTGCCTGCGCCACACAGCCCTGCAGGTGGACCCGGGCACAGTCCCCTGTGGGTGCGGCGGGGTTGGAGGACGGAGAAGCCAGACTCCTGCGGGCACGCAGCCCTGCAAGTGGACCGCACCACGTCCCCTGTGGGTGCGGGGTGGGAGGACGGAGAAGCCAGGCTGCGTGTGGCACAGCAGCCCCTGCAGTGACCGGGCACAGTCCCTGTTGGGTGCGTGGAGGACGGAGGAAAGCCAGGCTGCCTGTGGGCACAGCAGCCTGCAGTGGACCGGCCAGTCCCTGTGGTGCGGCAGGTGGGAGGACGGAGAATCAGGCATGCCTGCGGGCACAGCAGCCCTGCAGTTGGACCAGCACAGTCCTGTGGGTGCGCGGGGGTGGGAGACGGAGAAGCCAGGCTGCTGCGCCACCAGCAGCCCTTGCAGTGACGGCACAGTCCCTGTGGGTCGGCAGGGGCGTGAGGACGGAGAAGCCAGGCTGCCTGTGTGGCAGCAGCCCTGCAGTGACCGGCCACAGTCCCCTGGGTGCGGCGTGGGGAGACGAGAAGCCGGCAGCCGCGTGTCTGCGGCACCAGCAGCCCTTGCAGTGGACCGGCACAGTCCCCTGTGGTGCGGCAGGCGGGGAGGACGGAGAAGCCAGGCTGCCTGCGGGCACAGCAGCTGGCGTGGACCGGCACAGTCCCCTGTGGGTGGCGGGGGTGGAGACGGAGAAGCCAGGGCTGCCTGCGGGCACCAGCAGCCCTGCAGTGACCGGCACAGTCCCCTGTGGGTGCGGCGGGGGAGGACGGAGAAGCCAGGCTGCCTGCGGGCACCAGCAGCCCTGCAGTGACCGGCACAGTCCCCTGTGGGTGCGGCGGGGGGGGGACGGAAGCCAGGCTGTCTGGCGGCACCAGCAGCCCTGCAGTGACGGCACAGTCCCCTGTGGTGCGTGCAGAGGAGCCGGACGAAGCCAGGCTGCTGCGGGCACCCAGCAGCCTGCACTGGACCGCACAAGTCCCCTGTGATGTGCTGGGGGGAGGGGACGAGAACGCCGGCTGCCTGCGGGCACCAGCAGCCTGCCAGTGCGACGGGCACCAGTCCCTGTGGGTGCTGGCGGGGTGGGAGGACAGAAAGCCAGGCTGCCTGCGGGCACCAGCAGCCCTGCAGTGACCGGCACAGTCCCCTGTGGGTGCGGCGGGGTGGGAGGACGGAGAAGCCAGGCTGCCTGCGGGCACCAGCAGCCCTGCAGTGACCGGCACAGTCCCCTGTGGGGTACCTCACTTCACAGCAGTGGGGCGCAGAGTGAGCACGGATGCACCTGCTGGGGGTGTGATTTAAGAACTTGGTCTCTAGAACCTCCTCTCAGCTGCTGCAGGACCAGGGGCCTGTGTTCTCCTCTGCACCCTGTTTCCTGCTCTGTGAATCGGGGACGGGGAGAGTGACATCAGCCTAGGGTGGCGCGAAGCGGCAGCGGCGAGCCTGGGCCAGCACGGGCTCGCTCGGGGTCTGTCGGCGCCGCTGTCCCCAGCGTGGTGTGGGGAAGCTTCACCACCGCCCCAGGTATTTTGCTGGCGAAGGCCAGCAGTTCCCAAGCTGGGAGTCCGTCGTTCAGCTGGCCCCTGCGCAGCGACGTGCCAGAAATCCCAGCAGCACGCGGAGCCGGCGCCAGACAGCCGGGTCGTAGGATCCTTCAGAGAGAGCACTGGTGTGCAGCTCTGCGGTCCTGCAGGATTCGAGCAGTTTCTCTCAGAGCTTCTGCACTGTGTTTGCCTGTGGTGAAGCCACCTTCACCAGCTTTGTTGAAATGACGTGAACCTGTTCTGGGAGAGACTTTAAATTGCGTTGGGTGGTGACAAGCCTTGGTCTTCTCCACGAGGATTCCACGGTGGTTTTGCTTGGTTTTGTCCTCTCTCTGGGGTCGGTCGATGGTCTGGGCCCAGCCTGGGGAGGGGAGAGCTGTTGGGGGCCCTCTGAGTGCCCCTCCCACACCCCAGGCTGGCGTGGAGCTGGGCAGGTTCGGGGCGTGTGTCCCTTGCTCGTGTGTGACGGCTGCCACTGTCTTCTCGTGTGCTCTGGTAGGAGGAGCTTTTTGCCCTGGCCTTGCTCTCCCTGTCTCTCAAACCAGGAGAGAGAGTCCAGGCGCCACGGCGCAGCGCCGTCCTTGCCTGCCAGCCCGATGCCCACAGCCGGGATAGAGCAGGGCGGATTGGGAAAGAACCTTGCTCCCAGCTGGTCACCGAGTCGCTGGGTTGGGGTGTGGTTTCGACCCAGCTCCGCCTCCTGCTGCAGCACTCCGCAAGCGAGCTCAGGAGGGAGCTCAGAAATGGGCAGGGCCTGGGAGTCCGGGCTCCAGCTGTCATTCCGGAAACTGTCCTGCTCCTGACTCCTCAGGCAAGGAGGGTTGGGGGCCCGAACTTTCCTCGTTGTTCTGCCTCGTTTCGTGCGCTTATCTGACCGTGGTGGTCTTAGAATTTCAGAGTGAAAGGGTGAAGCACCCAGGCCTGGCGTGTTATCCCGACCCCACTCCGGAGCTTGCTTTCCCTGGTCACCAACAGCCCTCGCCCTGTCCTGCGGCCTCTCTCTTCCTTTCCTGGATCTCCGTGTGCGTGTGGCCGTCTCCATGGCGTCCGCGTTGTGGACGTGTGGCAGTTGGACTCTGCCCACATGTTCCACCAGCTGTTGGTTTGGGCTCACTCCTTCCCTTCCCATGGAGTTTGGAGAACGCGGTTGTCTGGTTATGTTTTGTTCCTGTCTGGGGATGGAACCAGAAGTGTGGATTTTTTGAAATTGTTCTCCAGTATTTTTACTTGAAATCAAATGTGTTCTGAGTTTTGTTTTGTTGTGTGTATTAGGACATTGAGGTTTCATGATGACTCTTCCCCGTGTGTGACGACGCGTTCCATACTGCAACGCAGGCGGGTTTCACGCGTGTTCTGGTTGGCAGCACATCTTGCTAATTTTGCACAGCCAAGCTGTTTTACGGAATCTTCTTTTTTTTCTTTCTTTGCCACCCGTTAATCTGCTTCACAGTCTTAATACCACTTGACCTTGGAAACAGTTCTTAACAGGAGGAGGAAAGTTGCATTTTTACTTGTCCCCCGAGAATGGATTCAGTCTTCTCTGCAGTCCACAGACACCAGGTGCCTGCTGTGCGTGCAGCAGTTTCCTGGGCACTTTCATTCCTCACAGTAAATCCTTCAGATAAAAAGTCAAGTGTATATTTGAGAAGCATTTGCCCAAACGAGGTATTTTCAAAATGTTTAAAATACCCACGAACACACCCTCATCGCCACCATCCGCAAATAAGGAAGAGCAGTGGGCCCGCGATTAGGCAGGTCTTGCCTGTCGGGTTTGTTTTCCAGTGAGCGCTCATTCTCGCTGTTGGCAGCAGGCTACTCACAGCTCACAGAAGGCGACTCTAAAATACAGCTTAAGACTCTTCCTCCAGATGGTCCTAGAGCTAGTGGAGAAGTGAAAACAACGTCTCCCTGACTGCCAGAAGATACAGTGCGGCGTTGCTGGTAACTGTCGCGTTAGCGTCGAGAAGGTGGCGGTAGCAGCTTTCGTCGTGTGTTGACAGCGACAGCAGCCAAAGCCTGTTCCTGAGCACCAGGGAATTTTAGGCCTGGCGCCGTTTCCTGTCCCATCTGGCACAGCGATAAACTTGTGCGGAGAACAGCGCCACGTTCACAGGCTCGGCGTCACGGTGCACACGCCCAGCCGCTGGCTCTCGGCTCTCCTCGGGCGCGGTCGGCGTATGCCACGGCCAGTGTGGCTCTTCCCGGGTCTCTTCCGCCTCCTTTCCTTTTAGGGCGGTCACATCCGCTCCCACGCCTGCACACGTGCGTGCAGACTGCGCCTGGACGCTCGTGCCGAAACATTGTTCACCTGTGGCAGTTCACCAAGCAAGGTGCTCTCTAGGAGAGAAAAAGGAGCAGAAGAAACGTTTGAAGGAATGATGGCTTCTCGTGTTGAGTGGGACAGGGTGATTTACATGTGCCAGGAGCTGAACAGACTGCAGCAGGATGAGCACGGAGATTCACACGCACACGTCACGGGGAGAGCACGGCCCGCACAGAGGGGCCCGCCAGATCAGGGAGCACCACGAGTCCTCCTCAGGAGCCGCGGGCAGAGGCAGGGAGGGACACATGTCCCTGGTGCCCCAAGCTGCCAGCCGAGATCCTGCGCCCAGCAAAGCTGCTGGGCACAAGGGCGAGAGCCGCCCAGAGGAGAGCGAGGGGCATGGCTGGCGGGCTGCTCCTCGCACCTGCGGCCGGCTCGCCGGGCTGACAGCAATGGCCAGGACAGAAAACTGAGCCCAGCCTCGGTGATCTCGTGACCACACAGGACAGAGTAAACACGTTTCTTCTCTTCTCTTGACTGATTCACAGAGTGCTGCAGTTGACAGCACAGGACCATTTGTGTACAGACACGCTGTTGGCTTGTAGTGTGTAGACGCGCCGTGTTCGCCAGTGACAGCACAGGGGCGGCGGGCGGGTGGGAGAGCTGCCTTGGGTTAAGGGACTACGACAGATTGCAGTGTGAGTTCGCAGGGCGAGGGCGGGAGCAGGCACGGCACGGCAAGCGAGCAGGCCCGTGTGCAGACGCAGTGGGGCGCGCTGGCTCGGCGCTCGGGGATGGAGGACTATGCAGGTGCCAGCGACGGCACTGCAGGGTCGAGTCCGCAGCATGTGGACGCGGGGTCGGGTCTGGGGCGCACAGATGCGGTGTCGCGACAGGCGACGGCACAGAACAGGGCAGGGGCGGAGTCCTGCACACGCGACGTTTCTATCTCTGAAGTGAAACTAGGATACATCTGAAGTAGGTCCTGATCGTGCGAGGTGTGCATGGTGAGCCCAGAGCAGCCACTAAGAAACTAGTTCAAAAAATACATGGTCAAAAGTCACTAATGAAATGAAAATGTTACAGGAGGGAACGTTTGCTTAATGCAAAAGAAAGCAGTAACGGAGAAACAAGAGCAAAAAAATACATGAGACGTAGGAAGAACAAAGTGGAACAGCAGATGTGAATTCAAGGATATCAGCAACATTAAATGTGAATGGACGAAATAATCCATCAAAAGGCGACGTCAGCGGCTGCTTAGAGAAACGTGATCCGCCTGTGTACGGACTGCAGGAAACATGCTTCAAATTCGGAGACACAAACAGACCGAAAGCAGAATGAGGAGGAAATATACGTCACACAGTGGCGCAGGGACTCAGCCGCACCCCAGACGCCCGCAGGCTGCCCCACCACGAAAGCAGACAGACCGACCCCAAAACCCACATGGGCATGGAAGGCGCCCGGCACTGTGCTCAATGTAAGAAGAGCCGTTGGCACCGACACTGGCTCCCCCGTAAGCATGTCTGAGAAAGCCTGTCTATACAGCACGTCCACAGCTGCCTCACACACGGAGTCGCACCACACCTGACTCTGACTAGCCGTGTCCGTGTCCCGTCAGATGGCCCCGCTGTGCGCCGTCCTGCTCTTTCCTCTCCTCCAGACAGACCGGCCCAGTGTGACCCGCAGTCTGGAACTGCTCCACGGTCATCCGACCCCATCGGGCTGGGCGCTGGCGTGCAGTGGTGACCACGCTGAACAGCCGTGTCTCTGGGTCGCGAGTGGGGCCGCTCCCTGCACCGTGGCAGCGTGTTCAGACAGCTGAAACAGTGGAGGGGAAATCCACATACGTTATTCATCTTCTTATTCTTGCCTTATTCCACATAGAGTCTCAGATAAGTTTTTAAGCTTTACATTTTTCCAGAATTGAATCTGTTAGGGTTTCTCTGCGGACGTGTGCGGCTCGCTGTGAAAACTGTGTGAATATTTCGTGTTTCACTAGCAGGAAACGCAGCCGTGTCGGCCGCAGACATCCGCTAACCAAGGCTCCTAGCTGCTTCTAGTTTCTGAGATGGTTTTTCAGTGGTTACTGCTCAGTGTTGCGCTTTAAACACCGTCCTCCACACATTCACCGCAAGCCTAGGGCCTCGGTGGTCCTCCACGTTGTGGAATCTCGGGCTTCCTCCCCCTGCGTCTGCTCCTCCCTCCCTCCCAGGGTCCCGCCGAGCCGTCCTCCCCACGGGCGAGAGCCGAGCACACCTGCCGGCCACCCGCCAGGGGCCAGTCCCAGGGTGGGGTCAGGAAGGCGTCACTCCCGGCAGAGGGCCAGGCCGTGTACCCTGCGGCCCAGCCCCACCGAGGGGCCAGGCCTGTCCCCTGCCGAGCTTGGTGACCCAAGGTCCAAGCTTGACCTGGGATCCCTCCGTCCCGTGGTTCGGATGGGCACGTCCCCTGGCCGGCGTGGGTTTTCTCTCTCACCCCACAGCAGCAGCTCGAGGCACGCCCTGGGGGCCGGGACTCTCGCTGATCGTGCTGATGGTGTTCCTTCTGCCTCGCAAGTAAACTAGGTGACTCTTAGCACCAGCATCAGCAGTCAGACTGCTACTGTGCCACAGTGTGAGTGTGTTAGCTCACACTGTGTATGTGTTGCACGTGTGCGATATGTGCACCTGCACGCGTGTTACATACGTGTGCGTTAGCTATGTTGTAGGTATGTTAGCCAGACGATGCTTTTAAGCCACCCACCTGTAAGGGCAGGCGGTCGCCGAGTCTCCTGGGAGCGGCAGGGCGGTTTGCAGCCTGTGGCGCCTCGCTTGGCTGCGACCCAGGGCCCTGGCGGCTCCTTGGAGTTCTGGGTCGAGCCCACGGGCGCCCCTGAGGCTGGGGTGGGCTCGGCAGCCCGTGGGCGGACGCCCGGTGCTCGCTCTGGCCAGTTGTCAAAGTGATCATTTCAGCAGCTGCCTGTGGCCGTGAGTTTCAAGGCGATGAACCCCGTAATGACCTCGTCCGATCACCTGGGGACGCACCTGTGCGGAGGTGTCTGCCGTGTGTCGCTGCTGACGCGACATCAGCGCGTCACCGCGGCAGGTCGCCGTGCTTGCCGTGCCCTCTGGGTTACAAGCACTTGTCATCTGCCTGCTGGCATTCTGGGGTCAGGTGAAGGGCTCCGTTGTCAGTGATCTCACCACGTCCTGGTGCGCAGCTGGGAACCAGGTGGTTTCCGCTGGCGCCGGTCGGCCTGTGCCGTCCCCAACACAGCCCGGGGGCGGGGTGCAGCGAGCACGTGTCACGCTGTCCTTGGCCGCAGAGCTGTGCGTGTTTCTTGCAAGCACAGCTCTGAGCGACAGGGACGGCGTGTCTGGGTGCCGAGGGCGCCTCTCACGCGTGCGCTTCTCTCCGCAGAGGCCACAAGCGGAAGCTGAACGAGGAGGACGCCGCCAGCGAGTCCAGCAGGGAGTCCAGCAACGAGGACGAGGGCAGCAGCTCGGAGGCGGACGAGATGGCCGCCGCGCTCGAGGCCGAGCTGAACGACTTCATGTGACCGCGGGCCCCGGCGCGGGCGGAGCCACGACACCGGCCACGCCCCGCCTCGCAGACCCCAGGCGTCCCGGGCCGCCTCCAGTCTCGGGTGCTTCTCTCCAGAAAGACGTGTATGTTTTGTAGAGCTGCACACACAGAAACACGTTATTTTGCAGAGAAATGGGTGTTTTTAAGAAGTTTTACTGCAGGAAAGTCTACTTTTGTAAGCAACGGTGTGGAAGGGAGTCGGGGTGCTATGCCAAAGAGCCCCCCGGGGCCCGCGGGGCCTGGAGTGGGCTGTGCGTGCGGGGCCGGGCAGGGCGCCCCTGGCGCGCAGAGCACGCGGCGCAGGGCGAAGACTGGGAGAGGCGTGGAGAGCGGCGCGTGGAGATCCGGGCTCGCATCCTGCCGTGCACGGCTGAAGCCATCAGAGTCTGAAAAGACTCTCACCCGAAACAGAACACGTGTGCACAGAGCACGGAGGCCGGCACGCGCTGGCCGGCGAGCGCCCGCTGTCTGCGGTGACGGGTCCCTGTGCGGCCCCGCCGCGCGGCCCAGCTGCCGCCGGTGCCCTGTGCGGAGCGCCGCGCTCGGGGCAGCCTCTCGCTGCTCCGAGAAGCCCAGGTGGAGTTTCTGTGCCTGTTTCATACCTGACCCACCAGGCGGTTTCTCCCACTCAATAAAGTCCTTTTTGTAAGTTCTCTCTCGGTGCCCTGAGCCTGCGGGCGTCTGGCTCCTCCACGCTCCTCTGGGTGCAGCTCGCTCGCCAACGTGCGGGCTGGGGTCCCGCTGGAGGAGCGGGGCGTGGCAAGGGAGGGCCGGGCCGGAGGCGCAGGCGGAGCTCGGGCCTCGCGCACTGCAAGCCACGCGACGCTCACTCCAGCGCTCGCGAGGGGGTTCCACGTGTGGGGAACAGAAGGCCGTGTTGTTCTGACTGTCAGCCGTGTGCAGACCAGACCCCAGCCCTGGAGAACGGGGTGTCCTGCGGCGTCTGGCAGGCACGCGGACCACAGCTACTCGGTCTGCCTTCGGACCCCGTTGTCCTGAGGTCTCTGGACAGAACGCCCGTCAGGGACGTGGCCGCAGCCCAGCGCTGCGCCGTGGGTGGAGGAGACCAGGCCGGCACCGTGTCCCTGTGGCGGCTGGCGCCCCAGTCTGCTGTTATGAGAAGAGAACACGGCCTGGGACTCCAGCCGGGCGGGTCTGTTGTAAGGACGCCGAAGTGCAGCTTCAGCCAGCTTAGATCCGATCCGCACAGCACACCTTCTTGTTTCCTTGGCTAATTACCAGATTGAAAGCTCAGTGCAAGGCTAAGGTTGTGTACGATTTATACTCTTTTCAGTTGTAAGTAACAGTCACGGCCCCAGGCGGCTTATCTGCAGGTACTGACTCTTCTGAGAACTCCTGGGTGGAGCTTCAGGTACAGCTGGATCCAGGTGTTCACCAGATGCTCAGCTGCCATAGGTGAACCCTGTTGTGGTTTGTCCTTTCTCTCTTGGCTTCAGCCTCTGTGGGCCTTTTCCACATCGTAGCTGAGGTGGTCAGACTCTGTCCACACCCGAGTGATGGGGCCAGAGGAGACAGAGCCACCACCGTTGACCCCGGGAATGGGTGTCGGGCAGGTGAGCAGATCCAAGGACCAAGGCGCAGTCCTTGCCTCATTCTCCCTGAGGTCCGTGACTGCAGGGACCTTCCACAGCAGCGATAATCGAATCTCCATGTTTTCCAGCCCAAACTTTTTCTGTGAAACTTTAGAGGAGGGAAAAGAATCCTTGACGGTGGATCTGTACGAAGAGGCAGAAATGGAAGCCGCAGGGCCGTGGATGGCAGCAGGCGTGTAGGCTGGTGTTTTCTAGGACACCCACGTGTCAAGGGTCAGCTGCATTGTCGTGCGTCTGACTCGTGGTTAAGTGCCCATCTGGGGCACTGGACCCGAGGACGCGGGTGCCAGGCCGGCGGCCGCGCCCCTGCGCACTCCTGTCTGTGCGGTGCGTGTGCGGGTTGGGCTCCACGTGTGGTTGGGCCGTCTCCAAGGGGCACGTTCCCCGAGTCCCCGATTGAGTCTTCCCGCCCATGGCCTGTGGAAGGTGAGTGGCGGGTCCCCTCCGCACAGGGCCCTCGGGGCCTCTGGCCGCCCTCGGCGGCGGGTGCCCAGCAGAGCGGCCACGGCGGCTCCCGCCGTCCGGTGCTCCGGTCGGGCCATGGCGAAGCCACAGCAGTGGGACGGGAAGCGCCAAACCCACCGAGGGCGGGGTGTCCAGCTCGCCCCCCAGATGGCCGTTCCTGGCACAGACCAGGCTGCCTGCGGATCAGGTCGCGAGGCGGCGTCCCCACCCGTCCCTCCGGGTTGTGAGCGCGGAGTCGGACCGGCGGGCAGGGAGCCCTGGCCTGAAGGAGGCGGCTGCACTCGCCCTGCCTGAGCGCGTTCAGCCACAGGCTTGCAGCGTCTAGGACGGATGGGCGGGGAGTAAAAATAGGTTTTCACACCAACCTCCCAAAGATAGCGAAGGTTCCTTTAGTTTACAAGAGCACAAGCAGGGAGTGTGTGTGCCGGGTGGGGGAGGCAGAGAAGGGCTGCGTTCCTTGTGAAGCCTGGGAATAGCTCGGGATGCCTTCGGTCTTCCTCCCAGCAGCGGGTCCCGGAGAGCTGTGCCCGTTCACACGTGTCCCCGGGCAGGGACGTCCATCCTAGCGGGTCTGTCACCACCAAGAGCGGGTCCTGGAGGGCTGTGCCCGTTCACACGTGTCCCCGGGCAGGGACGTCCATCCTAGCTGGTCTGTCACCACCAAGAGCGGGTCCCGGAGGGCTGTGCCCGTTCCCACGTGTCCCTGGGCAGGGACGTCCATCCTAGCGGGTCTGTCACCACCAAGAGCGGGTCCCGGAGGGCTGTGCCCGTTCACACGTGTCCCCGGGCAGGGACGTCCATCCTAGCAGGTCTGTCACCGCCAAGAGCGGGTCCCAGTCTCCGGGTCTCTGGTCTTGGCACTTCAGGACGCACACTGGCTCCCAAGCCTTCGGCCCCAGGCTGAAAACGACACCACCAGCGTCCTTGGCTCAGTGGCCATCCCGCGTGGACTGGGCAGCACTGCGTCTCACGGGTCTGCGGCCTGTGGGCCGCCGGTCCTGGGGCTGCTCCTTTCCCGCGGTCCCGGGAGCCGCCCCCGCAGACGCCTCTGCGCGTCTCACCGCCCGTCTCTGGAAACGTCCTGTTTGCCGTGGTGCACGGTTCTCTTTACACATCACTGGCTCCGATTTGCTGACGTTCTGCTGAAGATTTTTGTACCTGTGCTCGAGAGAGGCGCTGGCCTGTAGATTTCTTTCCCTGTGGTTTCCTTGGTTTTGTCATGAGGGTGATGCTGCCTCACGCGAGGAGTTAGGAAGGGTCCTCTCAGTTTCTCCCTTCTGGAAGAGATCGCAGGGAACTGCTGCAATTCTTCCTGAAATGTCCGTTCGCCGTTGGGCCTGCCGGGCCCCGGTGCGCTCTGTCCCGGGACGTCACTGAGTATCGGCTGACGGCCGCCTGTCGCAGGCACAGCCCTATTCAGAGTCTCCATTTCCTCCCGTGTGTTCTGGAAGACTGTGTCTTTCAGGAATGGGTCCGTGTCACTTAAAGGATCGAGACTCTGGGCACAGAGTTGTCACAGTGTCCCTTCCTTGTCCTTCAGTGTCTGCAGGGTCTGCGGTGATGGCCCTTCGTGTCACCGTGGCCTGGCCAGAGACCTGCCACTTTTATTTTTCTTTTCAGATACCTGGCCTTTGGTCTCCTTGATTGCCATGTATTCATGTTTTTAATTTCATTTATTTCTGCTCTAATTTTTATTTTTTTTTTTCTGCTCACTTTGGAGTTAATTTGCTCTTCTTTTTCTAGTTTCCTAAGGAAGAAGCCTAGATTATTGGTCTTAGATTTTTCTTCTTTTCTACTATACGCACCCAGCGCTATAAAGGTCTGTGTAAGCACTGCTTTTGTTGCAGCATCCTACAAATTGTAACAGGTTGTCTTCTCATTTAGTTCAAATATTCTTCAGTTTCTCCTGAGGTTTCTTCTTTGACCTATGTGTATCTGGAAGTGTGTTGTTTAATCTCCAAGTATTTTGGAATTTTCCAGCTATTGTGGATTTCTCATTTAATTCCATTGCTTAGAGCACAGTTGTGTGATTTATATTCTCTTACATTTGTAAAAGCGTGTTTTGTGGCCCAGAATGCGGCCCGTCCTGGTGAAGCTCCATGTCAGCGTGACCGAAGTGTGTGTATGGCCGTTGCCGGGCGAAGGCGTGTGGGCGTCTGTTCTGTCCGTTCGGCTAGTCCCGCTGCTGCGGGTTCTCTGCACCACCACCACCCGTGACGGGCGCCAGGAGCGTGACGCCGCGTTTGTGTGTTTCCCGCAGTCCCGCGGTTTTTGCCTCGGGTCTGTTGGCTCTGCTGTTCGGCACACGCGTGTCCAGCGTTGCTGTGTCTTCCTGGAGAACCGGCCCCTTCGTTATCAACAAATTGCTTATCATGAGCAGACTGTTCTCTGTTAACCGGGAATAAGAAAAATAGAAGATTTTTTGTGTGTGTCAGAGTCTCACTCTATTGTTGTTGGTTTTTTTTTTTAGAAGATTTTTTTT